AGTGGAAAAAGCACAATACGTGCAAAAATCGGTTTAAAATATTCTATTAGTCTATTGTATATATTATTTATTACAAAAAATATTTTGTGGTTATTGAATGTGGAAGTCCCAGAACCGGTTCTCGTGCTTGTGCTAACTTTCTTCCCATCGAAGCATATCTTTTTTATTGGATTTTTTTCTCTAATACAACATTGACTTTTATGAAGCGATTGCAATCTTGTAAATTTAAGCACTGGATAGGTGTAAGAATTTATATTGTGTTCTAAAATTTCCTTACTGATATGTAACGAAAAAATCAACGCATTTTTTAAAATTACATGAAATTTATAATATACGAAATTCATGTTTGCTGCTTGTTTATGGAGTTCGCCGACAGGATCATATTTCTCCATACTGGGCTGCTCGGCTTAACATGTTTAATAGGTTTGGGTTGCACCGTGCTACATTCTATTTTAAATTAATTAAGTATAAATATCCAGAATATCTTTTTAATAAAATCACTTTTCGTACAGACGTTCATAGCTGGAATCTAAGAAAAAAAATTATATTGAGAATACCACAACATCGAGAAGAAATGTTTAAAAGATACAATAAATAATTTGTCTTTTCGATTTAACAATATCAACCAAAACTTTTAAAGACCGGCATAAAAAATATATTCTTGGAACTCATGGAAAAACCACTCTGCTATTTACCGTTATCCTCTCCTTTCTCCTTTGTCCTGCAACTTCTCTGTTTATTGAAAACGATATTTAATGATTAATGTATTCTGAACTCTGACTAACATATTTAATTTTGTTTATTTGATACTTTTTTTCTTGTTCTTAGGATCAGTTGGTTTACATTAAGTTGAGGCCTGAACAGTGTCTGGCTTTGCTGGATATCTGCATTTTATTAGGCCTTTTGTTTGCCTTGAAAATGGTACCATCTAATACTTCGTAGTGTTATAATATGTGCACTTGGCAAAGCAATGAATATTACTGCTCCTTTTATTACTAATAACATTACCCAAAAACAGTACTATTTACAGAGTTTATCAATGAAAACAAGAAATGATTCCCATAAAAAGAGTATCCCCATACGCTCTTCAACTTTACCTCAAAGTGCTAACAAGACGTAAATTAAAATTTTTATATATATTATGTTATATAATATTTGTTAAGGTAACACCCAGCCTACCACAATAACACTTTGAGGATGTCGTCATTTTTAAATACCCGTTCTTTAAGCCTTTTTTGTAATCGCGTGTACAGAATCTATTAACAAATTTTCTACGTAATCAATACATTAATCGCTTCGTAAGAAAGGAATGGAAGGTACATACGTGTTCTGTGACGAGGCAAAACCAAAATCTGTTCCCTCCTGGTGTCAGCATTATTAGTTCTGAAGTTTATCATTAAGATAGGGCGGTTGCTTTGTGATAAATGTTTTATTAAAAGATTCGCATTTTTCAAAGACTTTCACTTTGGTCTTTTTTGATCACGTGTCATTGCCAAAGGCAAACAAATTAGAAAGTAAACCTGGACCATAAACGGCATCAGTGTATAAAAATCTAGAAATGATCAGCGATAGGCAAAGAGATAATTTTGAATTGTAGCTCATCACGTCACGACTCGAATAAAGTTGCCTTAGTTTGGTAAAAAGCGAACAGCGGTCTCTAACCAAATTTTTAAATTTTTTAGTTGAGGTTTAATTTTCAAATCAATTTCATTTAGATCAACCTTCATTTAATCTTTCATTTTTTTAAGTTTCTGTTTCAATCTAAAATGAATGGCGACCGATTTCTTTTAAGTTATGAGCATAATGTCAAACAGAGCTTAAAATTCAAAATGTCAGAAACGATCAGACTTAGGTATAGTATATATAGTATATATAACCAATTTAGAGGAATTAAAAAATGCTTTAATATGCTCGGTGTTATCTTTAAATCTATGTACATGAAAAAGAAAATATAATATTTTACAAAAATATTAAAGTAGTCTTCAATTTTACCTAGACTGCATTTTGTATTGGAGCAATTTTGACGTATTAAAAAAATCCAACTTGCCGTAAAGGTAATCTACATTTTTTTTTCAGTTTGTACGGAACTTCTTAGATATTTTCGAGGTTTTTTTGGTTGCACTGCTTGCGTCCACGTGCTCCCATAAAAAAGCCCTACTTCACCAGCATTTATTTCATCACCCCCCACCAATCTACCCGCAAAAATCCCAACCCGTAGAAAATGGAAAAACCTTATAAGCAATAGGGAACTTGAAAAAAAAATTAATTTGAAAAATATTGCTTACAAAAGTAAGTTTATTACAGGAACCACAGTTCATAAAAAAAATAATTTCGTATTTCTATGTAACAAATATATGCAATTAAAAATTGTTCAAATTTGAAACGCGCTGTCATTGGCTGTGACGTCAACTCGCTCGTTAGGCTAGGCGCCAGCTGGATGGTAGCATACAGAAGCCATTAAACAATGACAACGCTTTCACCTTGGTTATTTTAATTTTAATTTTGGTCTTGATTCTGTCACTTGCTCTGTTGTTCTCTTGTGTTTAGTGTCAAAAAGAAAGTTTTGAAAATAATCGAAGCCGATCGATGGCAAGTCTTATACCTTTAGTGGATATATTTATGGTGACATCTTACATGCAAAGCACCAAAAGTTTTTCTTTTGCTGAGGTTCGCGGTGTTAAATCTAAAACGTACGTTAATGGAAAATGTAGCCACTAACCAATGTAATATTGTAATCAGCTTAAAGTTTTCTGGTTTTTAAAATTCAAATGATATGCCAAATAAATTGTAAATTATTCAACAAAAAAAAAACCTGAAGGATTTTCTTTCTAGTTCTATTCTATTAAAATATTGATAACCTGTTCTTTATTTTATACAAGTCAGGAAGCCTTTCTCACTGAGACTGGAGTAGGATAGGTGCAAGTTCGAAGAGTTAGACTTTTATTTTCTGGTAGACGAATAAAAAGTTCATCTGGCCTTTTACGAGTTGAACGGGTTGCGTTGCTTTCATTACTATCATGTAAAGCACACTAAGCACAAATACAAACTGGCGTAGATTAAATACAAACACACCTTTAAACGAGTCAAAAATAAACGTAAAAAATATAATTCTCGGCCTATAACCTGAGAAAAACTCCTATAACATGTGGTCGTATCAATCGAAAAGCAAATGTTGAATTTCCCTATTTCCTATTATTACCGGAATCATTCCAGTCAAATGGAGTTCACTGCCTAGCAGACCCATTGCGTATACCATGGTCAGCACAGCTTCCGTTATTAAACGGACCGTCTCACCCTACTCACCCCGTATACAATATAGAAACGCCATTTGCATCTGCAAACAGCGACGAACGTCTGATCCGTCCGATTGAATCGTCGGGCGCGATGGGGATGGCCGGGGGGCGGCGTAGGGGATCCGATAGAAAACTGACAGCTTTATTAATTTCCTATCTATGAACACGGGGCCCCTTTTCAAGCGCGAGACGCGTCGCCGCCGCCGCCGCCACCCCGCATAATCCGAGTGCAGCGAGCTCGCTTGTCGTTTTTTTTGATATGCCCGAGACAGATACTTTTAATATTAACGACCTCGCCGACACCCCTCCGCTCTCTCGCATCTGGCGCGAAAATGTCACGCTCCCGGTATAACAAATCCCCACGCGGATATCTGTTAAATATGAATTGAAAGCGGCGATGATTTTTTGACGGTTATTTAGCCGCCCGAACTGGAAAATTTCAGTGGATTCTGACGACCGCTGACCTACGTCGTACTCCATCATAGCCTCTGAGGTCATCTCATACGTGGAACTGCATCTTCATGCAGGATTATCGTCCTTTGATAATGTGGTCTGGAATTTTGCAGCACCTAACCTCGTTTGGGCACTCTTCTGTAATTAAAAAACAGTTGTTTTTAATACGACGCCCTGTATATTAAGGAATATCTGATGCGTATATAATATTTACCACGTCAGTTTTGTTTCCCGCGGATCCGACATACTTGGGATATTTCCGGGATTTTACCGCACGAGTTTGGGAGCGATCGGATGTTTTCGTAGATATTTCCCACGCCTAGAATTTTGACGTTTGTCAATTCTGATGGTCACGTCAGTGAATGTGTTGTTTTGCAAAAATGTATCCAAAAACTAACGGTCGTAGAAAAAGTATAGTATGCAACACGTCCGGCAAACTTTTTAAGTCACTCGTTTATTAATCACTCGCTCATGAAAAAATCTCATTGTTATACATATTTTTCTCAATGTTGCAAATAAATAAACTATCTCTTTAGTTTGTAAAAAAATAAAAAACTTAAAGGCAAACTTTGTTTGAATTCTCTTATACTTTCGAATACCTAAGTAGTTAGGGTATTCTTCTCCTTCCAATAAATCTTTTTTTTTTTATTTCCTGTAGGATCTCTAAGTGTTTCTTCATTCTTCTTAACATCTCCACGTTAGTACACCACTTCTTGCATAGCATTTTTACAAAGGAAAAACGAAATCGATAATAATTCAAATAGGCAACCTTATTAAAAGTCAAAAGTTTCCTTTTTGAAGATGTTTCAATGAATATCATCCCGAAATATACAAGAGGTCGGAGAAATCGGAAAAGATTTAGGTGTTCGATATTATAAATGTCAAGAATTTTTAGCAATTTTTTACAGAAAATTTTATTTAAAATTGGACAGATGTTCTTATCCACACACACACACACACATCCTGTACAATGTGTACCTTTTTAGGCTCAAATTTTTCTATCCTATTTTTACTCTGCCCTGTCACTCTCGGTCAGTAAGCAAATTCAATTCAATATCTTGATTTCCTGGAAACCTGCAAAAACCTGTCTGTCTGCTTTGAAAGATATGACTGATTATTGCTGTTATTGTATAGTGACAGGCTTCAATCACTTCAATTCATCTCCCGAAAAAAGTGTTATTGGGCATTTTTATCTGTGCTTGTCTGGATCGCGGTGTCCGATCCAAACAATACCAAGCCGGTCGTGTGTTACAGATACGGCATGGATCTGAACGGAGCAAGACGAAAAAACGCCACTAGAGAAACCACCAGCACCCTAAAGGCGTGGCTAAACGAGCACAAGAAGAACCCGTACCCCACCAAAGGCGAGAAGATCATGCTGGCGATCATCACCAAGATGACGCTGACGCAGGTGTCCACTTGGTTCGCGAACGCGCGTCGGAGACTCAAAAAAGAGAACAAGATGACGTGGGAGCCGAGGAACAGGGTCGAGGACGACGACAATAACAACGACGACGAAGACCAAGACCACAAGAGCACCGATGGAAAAGATTTGCTCGGTACGGTGGTTGACCAAAACCGTCGCCTACGCGAAGCTAACTTTGCCGCTCTCGTTGCAGACTCCAAAGACTCTGGCACCGCTTCCAGTGAAGACGGCGACAGACAACCCCATTCGCGTCTCGCTCCCGACACGGCCAGCGAGTGGAGCGAGTCCCGTCCCGATAGCGGACCGGACAGCCCCGAGATCTACGAAAGGCCGCCCCATCCCGCTTTCCTACCACCCCGGACTTCAGGTTCCCCCCCTCAGCTTTCCGTACCGTCAGTAACAACGAAACCGAGAATCTGGTCGCTAGCGGACATGGCTAGTAAAGAGAGCAGCGAGACTCCTCCAAATTCCACCGCGTCCACGTTGTACTCTACGGCGAGCGGACGCTTGGTACCTCCTTTGGGGAGTAGGTTGCCGCCCCCGAGCTTGCACACGGCTCCGTATGCGAGACCTCACGACTTCTACAGGAGTTTCTACGGATCCGCTGCCGCTCAACACTTGGTGAGCGGCGGCAGTGGGTCACCAGACGCCTCCCTGCTGGAAACGTATCAGAAAACATTGGCGGCCCAGCACAACGCGAAAACGAGCCTGGCTTCGGCCATGACCGGTACCAGCAGCAACACGAGCGCCCTCGCGGGTATCCCTCTGGGGTTGGCCACACATTCGACCAGGATGTCCCCGTCGTCGACGTCCTCGCTGTCGTCCGGCTCGGAGACGCCGCTGAAGCCGATGGCCTTGAACAAGGCTTGATCTTTGGCGAGTTTTTAGGCATTAATCTACCTCTAGAGGTGTAATAGTAACGGTAAGATTCGAAGGAGAGGATTCTAACCGTTTTCTTCTATTGAAAAACAAGAGCTTTAAATATTATTTATTGTGTACCCCGATATTCCTTCTGTCGAGTCTTACCCGCTCGGTAAATACTTGACCAACACGGACAATACGAATAATAAAGACATCCCCCCTGTCCCTTTAGTAGTGTGCTGTACAGTAATTGTGATATACCCGTCCCCGTCCCTCTTCCTTGGTTCGTGTATAAATAGAAGTTGTCGTTTCCACTCTTGTAAATAGACATGTAAGGAAACATCCACCGTCGGTACCGCGCGTGGTACCGCTTGGACCGGCGGCGGATAACGATCCAGAAACGTATCTTTGTATCTATATGTATATGTATCTAAATAATAGACTAGACGCGATATATTTAAGAATTATTATGAATATTGTAAACATTTAATATACATTTAAAGAAAAATATTACAAATATTATGTGGAAATTTAGCTGAATACTTGTAAACGATACCGGAAACTTAATCACGAATACACACGTCTCTATCTATCTCTCTCTCTCTGTCTTTCGCTCTCCGTCACACGGATTCAGTTCGGGTTTGTTTAGTTCTAATGACATATCGAATAGTACCGGTTGAAGGCAATGCCGTTCGTGTGTTGGATGCTGCAATAAAATATATCGTTCATTATTTACGCCGTTGTTTGATTTGCACCTTCCCAGAATGGTCGCGCTCGTTTAAAACTGTGTGGTGCGTGTGCAAGAAGTGGCTCTGCAGTTCTGAAACAGGTAAGTGGCTGTATTAGTACTGCTTTACCATTTACTTGTTCTGTTAAGAACATGCAAGTGCAGGGCATAAGTCTTTAAACAGGTTGTAATATTTTTAGTGACTTTACTTATACAAACGACCAAGGGCGTAGGTTTGTTAGGTACGTGCCGTCTTGTAAGTGATCGCTTTTTTGGGCAATGCATTCTTCTAAATTCCTATTCTTCTACTTCTTATGTTACATATCAGCTCATCAAGGTCCATTTACTTTTGAAAAACCCACAAAGAAAGAAAGACGAAGAAGAAAGGAAGGTTACCAGAAATTAATCAGTCTTGGAAAAGTTTCTATTAAAACAGATTCTTGCAACATGACTTGATGCGCCGTCCTGCTGGAACTAATATTCTCTTAACTAGTAACTAACGCAATTTTGTAAGGGTTTCAACATTCTGTTCATGTTCTTGTTTGTAAAAAGAAAAGCATCGGCACAATCTTACCATCATAGAATGTTGGCCTTAATCTTGTTTTTTTGTCTAAAACTGATTCGAATTGTTCCCATGTACAATTGTAGCTTTGGAAACTGCAACACGAAAGACTTCTGTAGACGAGCTATCAAACCAGCTTCTTAAGTCCTTAAGTGATGAGTTTTGGGGCGTTTTCTTGAGGGTGTTCCATAAACTTTTTTGTTACACCCATGAAATTGTAAGCATTTGTCTGTAAAGCTACAATTAGAAAGCTTCTATTCCTTTCTCTGTCCGAGGGAATAGGGTCCAGCTCTCGTATCGCTATAGCAAAACAGAATACATAACACCTTGTCATTCCAATTCTAAGCTCGATGTTGAGATCGAGTCGCACAAACAATTGATGTTCAATTGTTTTTCGCTTGGCATGCAACTGTACATTTCCTGGTGTTTTTGAAAAGATGAACTACAGAAATATTTTGTAAGGCTTGCAACTGTAAATGCTATTATGATCAATGCTAATTTGGGGTATTTTTTAGAATATTTTATTATTTTTCTGTATTTATATTTTCATAACATTCACCAAACCTAATTTTAATTTACTTATTTTAAATTGGCTCACGACCAATTTATCTCTTTTTTTCCTTGGTAACGTTTGGTTCGAGAAAATTGTTTTTCTTAACCATGGGGGCTCGTAGCAGAAGAGTTGGGACCATTTTGCTGATAAAGAACGGCTGGCCATATTCATCCAACCCAACGCAAGCAAAACTGAAAAACTCAAGGTAAGGGATTAAAACTCTCCGTTTCATACAGTCTATTTATCGCCCTAAATACCCCTTTTCAGAAAAATCAGTATATCTAATGTTGTTCATTGTCATTTTATCGATGTTAGTTCCCCCCTGAACTGTGCCTGATGCTTCTCTATAGATAACTTCTAAGTATATAAAGCCGTGAAGATAAGTTCAGTATATCTTCTAATGTCTGTTTTATATGGACCACTGCTGTTAGACGCCAACATTCATCTGAAATGGTGGTTGTTCTTAAAATTTCGATCATTTTTTGACTTTGACCAGCAACCGCAGTACACTAATTAATTTTGTTCCAGTGACCAGTGCTTCATTTTGGCAGTTGTCAAGATATGTCACAATTCATTCGTGTTAATAATTGCTTATAATTCTCAAATTTAATTAAAAATTGAGGATAATTGAGGGTTTATGATGGTGGTGATTTTGAGATTGTTTTCCTTCTCCAAGAAGGCAGCTCTAAATTATTAAAGAGACAATCATCTAAAACAACAACGATGATTATTGTACCGAATAAATTGTTAAGAATACTGTAACCTCAAGCGAACTCAACGCATCTTCTATCGTCAAAAGAGCGAGAAAAGCAACTCGTTCATCATTGTGGTCTAATCTTGGTATCGTTATCACCGAAGTTTGTTCAGTGGCGTAGAAAGGATCGACACTCAATCTATCCGAATAAAAAATCTTAAAAAGAACATTAAAAATGAACCGCAAAACGTACAAATGAATATGAAGGCAAAAAACGCCTAGTTAAAGGAGCAACATACCTCTAAGGAGATCGTTAAAGTGGCTAGACTTTTGTTGCGACTCACACATTTTGTAGTCGTAACATCTGCTTAGGTACGCGCACATGCACGTAATTAGTAGAGTTTTTTATCCGTTTTGTCACCAGACTTCAACAGGGCGTCCGGCTCGTTTGATGCGAGAACGATTTATCAAACTGAGACGTCAACTGGGGGATGGGAGTGGGCTGAACGGATTGCTAACCCAGCTACTGTAGGTTATCGTATTTAATTTTTTTTTAAATTCTTTTATTAATCAACAAAAAAAAATTACAATTAGTAACAAAAAATTAATTGAGAATTCTTTAAACAGTGCGTAAAGCACTGGCCCCAGGAATACAAATAATAAATAAAAAATGGTAAGTAAACAACCCATTACTTAATCTTATTATTATACATTGGAAAGCACCTATATTACATTCAAGTGAATTTTTAACTGTTTTACAAATTTAATATATTTATTTATATTTCTTAAATTTGTTGAAAGCTTATTATAAGTAACATACTGCTTGGAATGCTGGATTGGAAAGTCCTCTTACCTACATTCGAGAAATGCTTATTCACTATTCACTATTTAATATTTCATTATTTGCAATACATTTTTGTTTTTCACAAGATTGTTAAAAACCTTCACTGTTTTTTTAGTCATTTCCAGTTTCATTCCATTCCTTTACAAAGTGATCATTTTTAAGAACTCTAATTGTATTACTTAGTTTATTTTTGACTGCTTTAAATTCACGACACAACTCAGTATTCACACACACTCTCTCGTATAACAGGTTCCCTTGTTTCATCAATTCTAGAAGTTCCACTGTAATCCATGTGTTATTCTCAAGGCTTTTGAATCTTTTTCAATATTCAGATCGATTTTTGCAAGTGTTTATTAGCTCAATTATCTCTTGAAATTTCTGTAAATTGACTTCTCTAATGGATTCTTTAAATATATATTTAAGTTTCTCATGATTCACTGCTTTAATATCAGAAGTAACTTTAGGCTTATGGATTTTGATATTTTCTGCTATAGCAACTGTAAGTTTACAGTAATCTGACATGACACTAATTTGCACACTAAGTGTGCACTTATTTCTGTATATTGGATCTACTACAACGTGATCTATTAGGCTATGACTATTTGCTGTCACCCGCGTAGCGTTCGATATATCTATTTTGTTCTTAATGACAAAATTGTTTAATGCTATTACACTTTTATTATTATTATTTTTTTACCACTAGTCCATCATGATCCAACAAGTTAAGATTGAAGTTATCGACTATTATGTGATTCTTAGGATATTGCGTCATTATATTTTATAAATATTCTATAGATTCTGTACTGTTATATGAGGGTGGACGATATAAAACACATAATTTTAGTTCATTATTACCTACTGCAGCACATACCCAGTTGACCGTATCATTGGTAGCAGATTTACCAATTTCCAGGAACTTAATTCCATTTTTTACAAATATTGCCGCACCACCTCCTGTACTTTTTCGACATGAATGTATAGATTTATATCCATCCAATTCATAAAGACCAATTTCTGCTTGATTTAACCTTGTTTCAACTAATAACAAAATATCACAGCTATTATTCTTTAAATAACATTGCACCTCGTCTAATTTATTTTTAATACTTTGAATGTTCATATACACTAATCATAATCCATTTTTATTTAATTTTCTTCCTTATCCTGAATGAATAAAATTTTACTATTATCCGTTTGTCTTAAAAGAATGTTGCATTGATTGATCCGAGTAGTTAGATGCGATATATTTCTCGATTTCATTAAACGGGCTTTTGTTTCCTGGTTGTGAAAACTGACTTTAATGGGATTTACCTTGGCCATGTCCTTACCAAACCTAACTGCTGTCAACTGGTTATTTACTAGTGTGACGTTTAGTTTCTCCCCAATTTTCTTTACTGCTTCCTCCAACTTTTCATTGTTATCATACGGAACACCCTGGATTACCAGATTGTTACTAAGCTCCTTTTATTCGATCTTATTAAGTTGATTTTTTATTTGACAGAATTTCTTTGTAATATCTTCATTTACATGAAGTTGTTTATTATATTTTTCGAATAATATGTTATATTTTCTATCCATATCTTCCAATTTATCCATGACATCAGCAACTTTTTATTCATTTGTTTCTTTGGGTGCTGATTCCCCTTACAGTTGTCGCAGTACCAGTTTTCTTTCGATTTGGCAATTTTCTGATATGTTTTGAGTCCCATTCCAGACAATTTCTGTGTCTCCATACCAAGCATTTATCACAAGGAAGGCCTTCATCACTGTCCGATACACATAAAGTTAAAACCGTTGGCGACAAACTACCGTGCCTTTCACGTTTGCGAACAAAATCTCAAGTCCCCGCGTGGAAGCAAGCAGCTTAATAATAATTTTACTTATTTGCACACGAATAAAGTTTTGCAAACACCACCACATGCTCACGTCGGACTTGGCTTATGATTAAAATAGCTTTAATCTTTAATAACTCACTTAAATTCAAAATATGACGCGAATTTTCAGAATACGTCTGCACGGTCGTAGGCGAATATCACCACTCAAAAAGCAGCTAGATGCAGCACGTAATGTTAAGATAAAAAATGAATGTTACATGAACTAATGGCAAAGCGGGTTTTCTATTAAAAATACCATTAATTGAAAGCAGATAAAAAATTCAATTTTCAAATGGGGGATAAACTTTTTCAACAAACAAAAGTGCTTCCGTTCCGTATTCCGGGGAAAACTGAATGTCCCGTTTCCTCTATTAACGAGTCACAAACATATATTTTTTATTATGCTTATAACTAAACTAATAAATAAAATATATATAAAATATATATAGTATATCATTTGCTGCCAT